GGAGGATTGTGTTATGCCCTAAATCAGTCTGTGCAAATTAATAAGCTGAGTTTAGCACCTAGTTTTTCCACTTAGCCATAAAAAGGGGCGGGGGGACTGAAGTTCCCTTTTACCTCAGTTCATCTTCAGACTTCAGTTGAAAACTCATCTTTAGGTTGATGCTATAGAAATCAACACAAATGGAATAAATAGTTGACTAACTGCTACCTATGTATTTGGTCAGAATAAGTAAATTTTAGCTTGTATGTAATAATAAGCGTAAATGTTTATTTCTTGCCAAAGAAATTATATTCCTCCAGTTGTGTGGGATGTTAATATTCAGTGAAAATTACTGAGATTTTTGTCATTTTCTTTTGTACTACATACATTAGAAACTTCTGTTCTCAAGAATTAAACTCAGATGAAACCTTCACTATCACTTGATATTCATTAGAATGCTTATTAGTAAGTTATTTTTCAAGTAAAATTATTACTTTTGTTTTTTAGAACAGGATCTGCTTTATAAATATTAAGATATTAATACTAGTAGAGGCCCCTGAAGAATTTACAAATGGGAAGGGACTGTACCTCGTCCACTGTCTTTAGACATCACTATGCTCATATTTAGTTATTGAAGAATACAGAAACAGTGAAAAATGAATTTTATTTAGATAAAAGATGACGATTACTATTAACTTATCAGTGAGATGACACTTATAGAATATACCACAACCCCTCCTCCTAAGCATCTAAGGCAACACCCCAGTGTTAGAATAGGAGAAATCTCCCTAGAATCCTATAAATTTCACAAACCATTGGGGCTTACCCCCTAGTATAAGGCTGAGGTAAAGGAAAGGAGAGGGGGATCCACAGTAAGGGATACACAATAGAAATGAAAACTGCAGCCCTCCTCTCCCTTCTCCTCAAGTCAGTTTACATTAGGTTCGTTCTTTCTAACTTCCACTGAGAAAATCTCACTGAGTTGTGACTGAGTGTGAAGAAACACAGTGAGACCCTAGGAGAATCCACTGTAGTATAAAGCTTTGTTGTGATACAGTTTGAACATTTCCAAGCTAGCATCTAGCTTTGTTGGTGTAATATCATGAGATTTATCATCTCACTCCACAAATAAAAGAATAATCCCATCAGAAAGCCTGGTGGCTCTGGGGGAAGAGATGAAGCTCAGGATAGGAAAGAGGAGGAGGGTTCAGGGAGCTACAGGTCAACACCCATGGAGGCCAAGTGGTTACGAGCACAGGCTCATGAGTTAGGTTGTCTGAGTTCAAACCCTGTTTCTGTTGCTTTTGGCAACAGAAAACTGTGAGTTTCCTCATCTGTAAAATGGGGCTAATAAAGACTACCTGATGTAGTTTACAATTAAATGAAATAATGTTTATAAAATATTTAGAACAGTGCTTGGCATATGGTAAGTGCTCAGTGTTACAGGAGAGTCAAAACTATGCTCTGGACTTTTGGATAACTCCTTGGTTTGGTTTCAAGGGAGTGGATAATCTTGGCACTGTATTTCACTAAGAAGAGAATTATTCAAATGACTTTTTCCAGGTCAGTGTATTTGGAAGTTTCTGCACAGTACTTTGGGTGTCAATACACATAGATATCTATATCAGAAAAAAAAATCTATAAAATCCAGCAGATATGTGTCTATCTTTCCCATTGGCCATATAGTTTTAGCTTGATAATGCCTTTAGAATTACTATGTAGAAAAATAATTTTATCTGATAATTGTGTTTCAAATACACAGACATAGGGGAAAATGTTGAAATTAACTGACTACATAATTGCAAAGAAATAAAGCCATACTATAAAAACACAACTCAGGAAGAGAGAAGAGAGTCCAGTTCCTTCTTTTTAAACTATCCCTCCTCCATTATGGAAAAAGCGCTAAGGTGCTGATGACCAGCCCATTTGCCCTCTCAGAATTCTCAGTCTATCTCTTTTGCTTGAGCTGTTTTATATATATATATATATATATATATATATATATATATATATAAAAATAAATAAATTATTATTATTATTATTTTTTTGGCTGCGTTGGGTCTTCATTGCTGCGCCCGGGCTTTCTCTAGTTGCAGCGCTACTCTTTGCTGCGGTGTGTGGGCTTATCATTGTGGTGGCTTCTCTTGTTGCGGAGCACGGGGTCTAGGCGCACGGGCTTCAGTAGTTGTGGCACGCAGCTCAGTAGTTGTGGCACGCAGGCTCAGTAGTTGTGGTGCACGGGCTTAGTTGCTACGTGGCATGTGGGATCTTCCCAGACCAGGGCTCGAACCTGTGTCCCCTGCATTGGCAGGCAGAGTTTTAACCCCTGCACCACCAGGGAAGTCCCAAGCTGTTATATTTTGTGTGCCAACAAGTCCTTTCTGTTTTACTGAAATGCTTTCTACTAACTTCATGTTATATAAAGGAATGGAAAACTATAATTAGGGGTTTGTGTTCTACATGTGCTTTACTTTGTCATTACCTGAATACAAGCTTTGCCTTTAGAATATGGATAATAATTTAACAATAATTACTTACCTGTTTAAATTTTTTTAATTTATAGCAATTTTTCTTGCTTCATTTTTGCAGTCTGTAACTATAACAGTAACAAATTCAGACACAGTGAATGATGTTATCAACATGTCACTTTCAAAGCTAGGAATAACTGTAAGTTACCTGCAAGTTATTTTTAGTTAAAAACCAGCTTTGATTTTTGAGATTCGTGTGTTTGTGCGTGTGTGTATGATGTACCTACCATCATAAGACAGCTAATTATTACAGATATGTAAGTCATATTTGGTGCCCCTAAGTTCAGAAGTTTAAGGCAGCAAAGCTATGTTATTAGCCTATACATGAGTGTTGTATTTCCATTTTAAATTCTGTGTGAATTGTAAGTCATAGCATAATGAAATCGGGCTATAATTTTAGAGTGCTATGAAAACATGCACTTTACTGTATACATTATATACCTAGACAATAAAATATAAGATTCTAAAGACTTTCTCCTCTATTGGACCTTGCTTTCTGTATCTTCTTTCCTGATTCCTCCCATCCCATCCCCATTTACCCTGATTGCCATCTGAGGACTCAATCTCAGCATGAGAAATCCTAAATGTATCTTTTGTTGTAAATTTGACATAAAGACCACCTGGCTAGAAGCTACATCCCCTTGTTGCAGGTCCTGAGAATGAGATAGCTAATGCCTCTTGTGAACTGGTAAAGAAGACAAGTTCTGAATAAAACCATGGATCTGGGGGGCATTTGTGTGCACATCACTTTCATCTTGTTTTGCTTTCAAGTGTCTGTTCTTTATGTTTTGATAGGACTGTTATGGCTTGTTGAAAATTTTTTGGTGAAAGACATGGCTATGTTTGGGGATGAGGGTGCATAAGGGAAAAGAGAGGGCAAGGGGCATTCAGATGGACAGAACTGAAGAAAGCACTTGTAAAGCATGGTTCCCTATATAAAATTATATATAAATATATAAAATGTATATATATAAGTAGATATATATGTGAATATATATATTTATAAATATGAAAATGTCTTGATATTGTGATATGACATAATGACAATATTTGTATTTAAGTTTTGTCTGACTCAATGGTATAATAAAGCCCCTTAAAAACTCAGGTCAGCCAGAATTTGGTATAAGAAATCAATGATTTCTGTAAAAATTGAATTTACTAATACATTTTAAATAAAATTGAATTTATATGCACTGAGTAAAGCACCCCTCTGCACTGACTTCTAACCTATTTGATATATATGTCCTGAATAAGAATTAAATCTTAGAAGAGAGTGGTTTTAGGGATAAGGTTGGTGAGATTAATGTTAGAGCTCATTTTATTTCATTTTGTAATTTTCCTTTGCTTAAAGTGATCAATCTCACCAGACAAGAAAAAATTTCTATTTTAATGAAGAATTGGGGTTATATGCCTATACACGTATTCCTGATTTAAGGGATTCCAACATAGTTTTTCCAATCTTTACCGTAAAAGAAAAGATTTTGGGCTTCCCTGGTGGCGCAGTGGTTGAGAGTCCGCCTGCCGATGCAGGGGACACGGGTTTGTGCCCCGGTCTGGGAAGATCCCACATGCCGTGGAGTGGCTGGGCCCGTGAGCCATGGCCGCTGAGCCTGCGCGTCGGGAGCCTGTGCTCCGCAACGGGAGAGGCCACAACAGTGAGAGGCCCGCGTACCGCAAGAAAAAAGAACAAAGAAAAGATTTTTATTAGCTCTCACTTCTTATTTGCAATACAGTTTTGAGCAGATTTAGCCGTGTGTGTGTGTGAGTGTGTGTGTGTGTGTGTGTCTGTGTGTCTGTGAGACTGCTTCCATACCAGGACCCTGCCTCCTTTCACAGCAAGGCCATGATTTCTAATCAGGAGTCAAGGGCAAGCATACATAGTACCTATCACCAACTCTATTTCAAACATTTCCTCTCCTCTTTAATTCAGCAGTCTTTATAATTTAGAGTTTCAAATGGGATATCCAGTATTCCTAGGCAGTGATTCTGCTGGGAGTTAATTGTTTTCTGCATCTGACTTAATCTCTAGGTTAGAGTCCTTGTCCCTTCTTTCCCTTGAGTGGCGCTTGTCTACATCAAAGCAAGTGGGCTGAATTTACTCTGCCATCTACTCAAGGCCTCTTGGGCATTTGTCTCCTTTTGCTCATGGTTGCTGAGCTAATGATGCCTTTCTTTTTTAATATTTATTTATTGATTTGCCTGCACTGGGTCTTAGTTACGGCACGTGGGATCTTTGGTGCAGCATGAGGGATCTTTAGTTGCAGCACGCGGGATCTTTTCAGTTGCGGCATGTGGGAATCTTACTTGCAGCATGCAGGCTCTTAGTTGCAGCATGTGGGATCCAGTTCCCTGTCTAGGGATCGAACCTGGGCCCCCTGCATTAGAAGCACAGAGTGCTAACCACTGGACCACCAGGGAAGTCCCTAATGATGCCTTTCAAGTTTTAATTTGCTCAGAAATAGTCATGGCAGAGTATGTGACTCTCTGGACAACATGCTTGCCTGGGCAGGGACATTTGAAGGCAAAAGCCAACAGTCTCCAAGGAGTCTGTTGAAGAATTTTAGCAGCAGAGACAGCAGAGACAGCAGAAAGCAGGACTCCTCCAGCGTGAAGAAGCATTACCATGATTTTTTTATGCCATGGGCCGCCCACAAAGTGAGGGGCTGATTGCATGTGGTTCCATAGATCCCCACCCTTTATCAAAAAGGACAAGAATCTCAGACGGTCCATTGGAGGCTGTGAGAGGTACAGGGGTTACTGAAATCAGCACTATTAACTCAAAAAATTGTAGCCACCCCTATGGACCAAATAGCATTTATACTAGCCCAAATTCTTTTTTTTGGAAGTACAGAAATGCTAAGGAAATGTGTTCTTCAAGTACCTACTGGGAAGATTTGCTGTGACACATAGTTCTTTTTGTCTCCAAGGGCTCTGAGAAAGATTACCAGCTGTGGGTCAGTTCTGGCAAGAAAGAGGCCTCATACCTACTCACTGGTTAAGTGTCAGGGAAAACCTAAGATGGGGGTGATTGGGTTCAAAATTGTGACCCTAAAGTCTCAAAGTAATGGTTGATCAGTCTTAAGCTTAAATACCCTTAAAAGTGAAAATACCATGCAATATTTATTCATGGATTTATTAAATAATTCCAAGCACATACTCTATCCCAAGCACTAATAACATCTTTTCATTCAGCAATTGGTCTAGTTGGGGAGAGAAATGTGAATTTTTCTTCTTTGCTTTTCTTCACTTGACAAACAGAGTTATCTTGAAGACATTTATTTACTTACTCTTTACTTACTTACTTAGGTATGAAAGCAACACAAAACTGGAATTTCTTTTTCTCATACATTATTTTTCATATTCCAGTCTTGAAGTCCTCTGTTCCATTTCCTAACTACTAAATAGTCTCCATTTTGTGAGAATCTTCTAAAATCCAGCCATGCCTCTGAACCCGAGTACATTTATTTAATACCTGCTCTGTGCCCACAACTTTTCTCAGCATCATAAAGAAAATGAGATAATCACACTCAGACTCTTCAAGTCTTCACTGACTAAACCACCTGTACTTTGCTGTTTCTCAAGCTGAGTTTACCAGCATTGCTCTTGAGGTTTTTGATAAACAGATTACACCTTTCCTAAAATAGTTACTGTAGCAAGTTAGCTAGAAATAATAATACATACTCTTGGATTAGCAAATCTGTTCAGTGTAGTCAGTGAAAAAAGAGGGATTAAAACAAGGGAAAGGGGCTTCCCTGGTGGTGCAGTAGTTGAGAGTCCGCCTGCCAATGCAGGGGACACGGGTTCGTGCCCCGGTCCGGGAAGATCCCACATGCCGTGGAGCGGCTGGGCCCGTGAGCCATGGCCACTGAGCCTGCGCGTCTGGAGCCTGTGCTCCGCAACAGGAGAGGCCACAATAGTGAGAGGCCCGCGTACCGCAAAAAAAAAAACACAAGAGAAAGGACAAAATCTGTAGCAGAACTTGCAATATAGTAAAGGTGACAATGATTTCTGCTAGAAATCTTAGAGCATTCCCTCTTACATGCAATATCTTTTTTTCTTTTTTAATCGTGCAATAATCCTGTGAGGCTATTACTCTTTCAAGTGATCTGAAGAACGTTTTCAAGTGATCTGGAAAATCCAATCAACTGAGTTTTTTCTACGATATGTATAGTCCCAGTCTTAGAATACACTGAGTCACCAAGTACATAGCTGAGGACAAAATCCCCTCACCCATTTCATGTGTTTTTCTTTTTTAATGTTGACATCTTTGTAAGAGTCAGTCAGCAATAAAGTGAAAAAAATTGAATAAATATATTTATTTTAATAAAATGCATTAGTTTAAACAAAACCACATAGATGACAACTTTTAGGCTTCAAACAGCTTCACTCACCATGGCTGGCTCTAAGGACTTCTAAGAGGCTGTCATTCATGATGATACCTTAGCAGTCATTCTGAATGCATTTAACATGCTCTCAATTCACAATTATGGATTAGCTCCTGGTTATCCTGGTGATTTAGTTGTATTTTATTGCTGCCATGGAAGTTTCTTTTGCTTTAAAGGATGTAAGTCGCTGTGATTCTTGTTCTGAACAAAGCACTGACATTGCATTTATGCCAGATGAAAAGCAAAAGCAAGAGCTCCCCAAGTTACATTCAATAATAAATCAGGGGACTTCCCTGGTGGTACAGTGGTTAAGAATCTGCCTGCTAATGCAGGGGACATGAGTTCGAGCCCTGGTCTGGGAAGATCCCACATGCCACGGAGCAACTAAGCCCGTGCGCCACAACTACTGAGCTTGTGCTCTAGAGCCTACGAGCCACAACTACTGAAGACCATGTGCCTAGAGCCGGTGGTCTGCAACAAGAGAAGCCACCACAATGAGAAGCCCACGCACCGCAACGAAGAGTAGCCCCTGCTCGCCACAGCAATGAAGACACAACGCAGCCAAAAATAAATAAATAATAATAATAATAAATCAGAAATGAAAGAAAAGGAACTTTCATTCTATTCTTAAAAAATGAAATCCATGTCACAGCACAGGGTCTTTGAGAGTTCTATGGTGAGGAAGCAATTTAAAGCCTGAAAGAGTAAAACAAATCACTTGGCAGCTAACTCCCCATGATTTCTAGTGTGGTTTTCCACTCCGTAAACACTGTTTTGCGCTTCGCTTCTGGGTTTCCACCACCATGCAGCCTTGCCTCTGATCACTGCCTCGCAGGACCCCCCTCAGAGGGAAGGCAGCAGTGGGAGGCAAACATAAAGGCAAACAACCCCACTGCTCTGGAATAGCTATGGCTATTGAACTGACAAAAGGAGATGAAAAATCTGTTGGTTAAACTGACGTGTGAGAGAACAGTGATCATAGCAATTTTTAACATATATAGTCCAATTATTTTTAAAATATTAAGCACCAGCGTTTATTAATATACTTACTTTTATCCTTATGAGTCTATGTGAGGGTAAGCATTTCAAAGGAGGACTGTAAGGCAAGTACTTTGCCTAAGATGTACAACCTAGTGAGTGTCAAGGCAGAAACTAGAAGGCCTTCAATATTCTCAGATGGAAACATAATGAAAGTCAACATTGTGCAATGCACTGATGGATATATACAATCCAAGCCAAGCAATGTGTCTAAAAACATTTTTCTCTACTCTTTTGCTTAGGCACCTGCTTTCTGTAGGGTGTCCCCCATGACAGTGCACATCATGCTCACTCAGGAGGCACAGCCTTCTCTACCCAGAAGGCCCAGAAGAACGGCAGCCACACCAGTGTGGTGCACTTACTCACGGTAAGGTAGGTTTGATCGCGCCCATCACCATCCGCAGAATCTACATTTAGATTTTTCTCCACACAGGGCATGAACATCCCTATGGAATTAAGATGAGCCACTTCCAGCTACTGTGCTCCTGCAGCGCGGACTGGACGACTCCACCTCTCCTTCCGCCCTTCAGGAGGCCTGCCTCCTGAAGCAGGAGTCCCAAGAGATTCAAGCCCGGTGAAACCCAAGCACTCAGCCAGGATCCAAGCCAGGAATCAGTGGGGAAAGGTAAGCCCCTTCCCTTCCTGCAAGTGTCTTCTCTTGGCTTTTGTCTCTACTGCTGAAAGCAAACTCATGACATACAGCGTATTCTCCATGTGGGGGTGGGGGGGGGGGCGGTATAGGCAGGCACCAACACCCACCCAGAATCAAGCTCAGAGAAACCCCAAAGGTCTGAAATCAAGACCCAACTCACTTCTAGGAAAGTTGTTTTTTGTTTTTTTTTTTTTAATTTCTCTAGGTAGACATCTCCCTTCTCTGTATCCCCAGAGCACTCCCCACATATAATTATGTCTGTACACATCTGTGTGTCTTATTAGAACATGAGCTTCTTATGGCCTCGGAACACATCTTCCCCATCCTAGGGTTTTGCCTAGCACCTCATGCCCTCACAGGAGGTGGTTAGATGACTGTATGGCTTAGATAAGACCTGGAATCTGTTCTGGGCTTAGGCTGAAATGGCCTTGCGGGTTCTGGTTAGAACTGAACTCTCAGTTCTACCCCCAGAGCAACCTCACTTTCCACGTATGCTTCAGACCCAGGTGGCGACTGGAACTGGACTGAATATTTTCGGTTGGGGTTTTTTAAAGTCTTCCCTCTTGCAATTTTTTTTCCCCTACCATTCCAATATTGTCCCATCACTATTTCTTTCTCTGAATAAAATGTGTTATTCATTTGGGAAGTATTGGGGCCAGCATAGAATTTCTACTTAAAGTATTTTTATTGTTATGATTATTATTCTATAAGCACAAAGTTTCAAAAATTTTATTTTTTCATATTCAAACCCTAATTTGAGCATGAGGAAACACTAACCTAAATCTTATCAGGACTGTTTAAGAAAGATGAGGTTACAACGTTAGCTTGTTTAATAGTCCCCATATTTTTTCATGGCTATAGCATATACTTTTAATGGTCAAAGAGGCAACATGAACTCTAATATCAAACAATGTACGTTATGAAAGGTCCAACTAAGCCTGAAACTATCTTTGAGAAAGTACAGGACTCAATGTCTATTTTGCTTTCTGTCTATGCTCATGGAGTAGATGGATATATAGCTTTGTAGCAAGGGAAAAAGCACTCTTTTTAAGAGCATTCTTATTAAAGCTGAACAATGAATGAATACATTTGGAATATCGTTTTAGAAATAATACAATCAGCTTAAGAGTAGGGAAACCAGGTTGCACAAAACAACTCAACCTATATAAACATGTATCTTAAACATTTGTACATGTTAATGTAGAAGAATCTCCTCCTGGATTTAAGAATGTATTTGCTTTCTTCATTCTCTCCTTTTAAAATGATGGAGGTATGCATGTCAGGGCAGGAAGAGCCTAAGGTAGAGTGGTGGCATTCCTTCATGACTGCATATCTTCTGGAGGCTGCAAAATCAAACGGAGAATGGGAGTGGGGTCTGCTTTGGGGGGAGGAGACCGATGTCTAGGCTGCCGTAGGCCCTCTGAGGGGGGAAATTACCTTCATCAAGGCTGCTATGGGCCATGTCTGTGTTGAATAGTACATTACACTATGTAGTCCAATGAGGTGTAGGTAGCATCATTTTTGTTAAATTTGAGAAATCAAAGCTCAAAGAGTTTTAAGTAACCTAGCCAACTAAGTGGCAGAACAGGAGCCTGCTGGTTCTCTCATCCAGCACAAGTGTTTCGCCCACATGAGTGGACACGGTGACGCACTCACTATGTCTCAGAAAAGACAAGTGGATGGGCGTTTAAGGATATTTGGTAAAATGTTGCTCGTCTGTTTATTTTTCTACAACTTGGCTCCTCTGTTGACTTTTTTTAGTTGGTTATTTAAGCAGGTTTTTTAAGCAAATGTTAAACAGGTTACTTAAGCAAATATCAGGAAAAGATTCATAGCTAGGCAGTAGAAACCTTGAACTTAGCTTTTCATTGCTGATCACTTTTTTCTGAAAAGCCGTTTGTCAGCAATCCTTTGACAGGGGCTGTTGGGTAGTTAAAAATCATCTCTGGGTAGCTGGGCAGGGTGTTACAGGAAGATGGCCACGTGGCATCTTACCATATAGCCAGCATTTAATGACTACTTCCCAAGGACCCTGACTGCAGAAAGTCATCTATGGAGCTGCCTGAGGGTTGTGGCCTACCAGAGGAGAGGTCCAGAGGATGGCTGAAAAGTGGGGTCAGGCAGGATGTGTCATGAAGGGCAGATCCTTTTGATGGGAGAAAAGTTGACCACGGTCGGGTACTCAGAAAGCCAAACAGGAAATCTAAGAGTGGGAAGAAGCCTACTACAAAAGTAAATGATTACCAAACTCTGCTTGATTTGAATACCAAATCTTTTTGGCTTTTTAAATGAGATTTGACACCTGAATCCACTGATAATACTTAACATCAGGAAACTTGTATAATACAGGTTAAGTGACTCATGACACAGTGCAGAGGCAGTAGATAGCACTGTCTGGGGAATACTGTCCCTTGGAGAATCAGCCCTGAGTCTAATCAAGCCTCTAGGTTTAACTACTGGTTTGCAGGATATGGTGAAGAAGAATACATTAACACCACAGGATGCAATTAGCCAATTTCAGAATGTGGGAAATTATACAAGAAATGACTCAGTTTCTCTCTCTTCCAGCCACTGCAATGAACATGCTGTAAAAAGTAAGTGGTGGGAGTCAGGTTAAATGAACTAAACTACTATTAGTAATAATCTTTCTTCTTCCTTAGATTCAGGCCAGAAGACAGTTAAGAGGAGTTCAGTCAAAAACTGGGCCTTGGGCTTCCCTGGTGGCGCAGTGGTTGAGAGTCCACCTGCCGATGCAGGGGACGCAGGTTCGTGCCCCGGTCCGGGAAGATCCCACATGCACGGAGCGGCTGGGCCCGTGAGCCACGGCCGCTGAGCCTGCGCGTCCAGAGCCTGTTGCTCCGCAACAGGAGAGGCCACGACAGTGAGAGGCCCGTGTACCGGGAAAAAAAAAAAACAAAAAACAACTGGGCCTTTTGGCGGAGCTCCAGCACTCGTGAGGACAACCAGTGCCCAGCTCCACCACCCACAAAGCCAAATCAGCTCTTCGGAGCTTCTCTCGAGGACGTGTGAGATAATGACCGCTCGCCCGCCCCAGTTCTGCTAGGTCTCATCTGGGTCTTCTGTAGCCCTCCTGAGGAGGGGAGCTCTGAGAGCACAAGTGCTCTCATCCAACTCTATCCTCAAGCGGAGAAGTCATTAGACAGCCCCTGGCTTTGACTGAGTTTTGTTAGTATTACTTCGAAGAATAAGATCTGATTTAGGTACTGCAGAGTCATGAGGCAAATACAACAGGAAAAGATACTCTTGTCCATTCCACTGGTTTCAGCAAAGACCCACCTGCACCTGCTCAGATCAGTGAAAATGGGCTCTGTGGGTATGAATCTGAGAGTCCACCTCATCCTCATATTCTCTCATCTCCTTTCTTGAACTCCACACTCAGTCTCAAGTCTCCTTCAGCTGAGTTTACTCAATCTTATGACTCAAAATATCTCACATAGATTTCATTTGTAATTCAGTGCTTAAGCATAAAGACTCATCCCCTGGCAAGTATGAGTCATTTAATCCTGACAGACTGCATCAGAAGAAAGTCAGAGTTTGACCTGTGTTATATCAAATTAGCATACTGAATTGTCAGCGCTCTCCAAGCACTATACCACATGCAGGGAATCTTATGCTATATGTGAAGAAATTTATCACACTTTTGATAGTTACATGCTAGCTACTACCCCAGTCCTTGCACTTTTCACAGCAAATTTAGGGGGTAACTATGATTATCATCTTCCCCACTTCATAAATGAAAAACAAAAAAGCCTCAGTAAAGTATGTGCTGTGCCCGACGTCATACAGCAGATGAGCGGCGTAACAGATTCCAGATTCCTTGGATTACCTGACTCCAATATCTGTTACCTCTCTACTCTGTAAGCAGAGGGCATGAAGACAAAACAAAAGGAAATGAAAGACAGATGAGAAGGGAATATGATCAGAGAAGGAGGAGAGGGGTTTTGAGCCTGTCTTAAAAGAGGGGAGGAAATACAGGAAGTAGAAATGGGGTATACAGTCACTGAAAGGAGAATAAACAAATGGGAACTTAGTATGGCAAAAAGATTTCTACACTTAGTAAAGAGCATCTATAATAGGGAATAATGAGAAAGGAACAGTGAAGGAGGAGAGGGTGATTCTACAAAGGCCTCAAAGCAGAGAAGTTTGATTTAACAGTGTAAATTTACTAAAAAGGAAAATCTGATTAAACAAGTGTTTAAAATGTTTCAGTGTATGAATGTAAAATGGATTGTTGGGTAGAAAATATATTTGGAAACACTGAAAAAAAATTTCAAATGGACTTCAGTCCTTCCAGCTCTAGCACTGTACCCTCATACACCCCAGCTCTGTCAAAAAGGGGGCAAGCTTGTGCTCCGGGCTTGCAGATAGGAAATGCCACATAGTTTTCTTCCCTATAGCATATGCTTTCCTTTATCAATCAAAAAGGGCCTCTCACAGAAGGCATCTTCAGAAAATCAGCCAGTATAAAATCATGCAGAGCCCTAAAGGAGAAACTAAACTCTGGGGACAAAGTGAACTTGGATGATGAATCCGTTCTTATGGTAGCATCCATCTTAAAGGTAGGGAACGTTCTAGCATTATCCACACGCAGAGTAACTCTGAAGCTATATGACTGGTCCTTCATCATGACTGCCCAAGAACCGTAATAGGCATAATATAAAAACACTTGACAAAGTCAAAATTGAAGGAAGCTACTTTGGGTGTTAAAAGCCCCACAATGTTAGATATACTTTCCTTTTTCATCACACAACACCCTCCCCATCTTCATTCCTGAACACTCCATGCAAAAGAATAAAAATAATAAATTTCAAAACACACACACAGAGTGTTTACCAAAACAAGCTTCCTGCTTTTGATGACTTCCTCGCCACCTTCCTAATGAAGGCAAAGTTCATATTAAAAAAAATTCATATTAAGCTTTTGGAAATAGTGACACAAGTTTACCACAGTAAGTAAACATCTGCCTTACAATGAATCAAAAAATGCTCAGTGAGGACACCTGATCCCTTCATCATCCTTCCTTCCCCTGTCTCTTAATGCCTTTTACTTTAAAATTAGTGTAGGGATGACTCCACCCTTTGTTCCTCCTTTTTCCTCCTTTTACCACCTTCGGCATCCTTTGTTGATATTTGTAGTTTAACCCACCACCCATGGTTATAGTTACATGGTAACCAGCTCCTACCACATGCCTCTTCTTATAAATCTGACTTCTAAAGTGGGTGCAGCAGTCAAAATCAGTTTGGAATTCTGAAAATTCAATAGATTTATACAAAAATAGATTGAGTCTGAAATGATACAGCTAAATCACAAGTGTCTAGTTACATTTCTACCAGGGGAATAACAGAACAGAAAAATTTAATCAATCCATGTTAGTACTTGTTAGCAGCTCTGAACAAAAATATGTTAATGTAGTAATGACTGTAAACAGGTTATTAAAATTATCTTAGAAACTCAGTAACATCTGGTCTTTCCTTGTCCCCTATTAATGTTTGATTGTAATTCGACTATATGATAAATAGCAACAGTTCAGAAATGACTTAGAGTTGACCCCTACTACACTAGCACCATAATAACGCACACTAGGTATGCAAATAGCAAGATGAGTATTGCCCTCCGTAGGGTGCACACATGGAACTGACGTGATTTTCTAGCAAAAGTTAGTAGGCTCTTGCCTATTTCCATGTTATAAGCACAGACTAGCAAGAGGGTAGCTACTCACAGCTACAGTTCTTAGACATTCACAACGTTTTCTCTTCCTAAAGTTGACTGATCTTGGTGGGGAATCAAACTTTGCAACCTTGGCTTTGATAATACCATGTGTCAAACTAACCAGAGAGTTGGTCTAAATCAGAAATGAATATATCATCAGTACCACATTGAGTTTGCCATTAAACTATCTATAAACAGAGGTCCAACAGCAGATACCCCTGGCATATTCTGCACATGTCATGTTCTGGCTTAACCACACTCAGCCTCACCAATGGACTCTACAGAACAGGGTCCAGGAAAGAGAAGAGACACACACTCCAAATGCATGTAGTTTGGTACACATGAGGCAAAGGCCCTGCTGCACCCTCCCAGACTCCCAGAACCAGCCAAAGCTGGAGTGCTTCCTCTCTCCACGTATATTGGGGCCACTCCTTAGGGAACAGTGAAAAACCTAATGATCGTGAGTGGGTATTGTATACCAATAACACAGTAAAGGTACGAGAGGACAGAGACTTTGTCCATTGTCTCCACTGCTCTGTTCCCAGGACTCAAAAGAGTGCCTGGCACAAACAGCAGCTCAATAAAAGTAACACTTACTGGATTATAATCATGACAGTTGCCTAGAAGCATCTCCTGAGCAACCTACTATTAAGAGAAGTCAGGCTACATATTAAGACCAGTGGAAGCAAGGTGTGCTTTTGAAACTAGCAAGGCAATGCACTAATTTCCCCTCAGTCTTACACAGAAGATTATGACTTCATAAATTTTAATAGGCCCAATTCTATGATATTAAGACTTGTTCATCAGCCCTCTAAAGTTATGAATTTTCCAGGCCTCCACTTAGGAAGCTTGCATTTGCATATCTCTAGCCCTGATACTCAGAAGTTGCAATATATCCAAATTTTCAATTTCCTTTTTTGGGAGGATGTGTTCCATTCAAGGAGTTGTAAGGGGTAACATGTAGTTACCCACTGGGGATTTTGATATATTTCTAACACCTACTGCTTAAAAGTCTGCAGAACTGAACTTTTATATAGTTAAAAAAAGGAAGACTGAAGCTATCATTAGAGTAGTTTTTTTCCCAAGGAGCATACATACATACCTCAAGTCAGAAAGCCCAGTTCTCTCTTAATATGTGTGCAAGAGCATGTTGGAGGTGTGTTTTTTGGTTATTTTTTTGTTTCAGAACTTTTTTTGCTTGAATTAAGAGCAAACATTGTGTCTAAAGTACAAGCAAAATGGGTATGTCCATTTCTTTTCAAGAAACTAATAGGATTTAGGATTTAGGATGAGTCACCAGACCTTGTCAGTTTGTACTAGTGTGCTAACATGAGTAGGTTCCAGGTGACAGAAGGGGCTTTAGCGTCATTCTCACTACAGCCCAGAGTCTACTTTTATGCTTCTAATTTTACGCTTCTAATTTTAGTTAGAGAAAATCCAAGCAATGCTTCTGGATGTGCAAGTCAGTGGATAACCAGAGCCAAGCTCTGTGTGGATCACAGTTTGTGTAGTTGAGAAGGAAGTGGGGACTGAACTGAATTTTCCAACTAAATGTTTTCTCTGTAATTTCTCCAACATATTTATCATAAAAATAATATATATTTTTTATCTGTGTAAGGATTTTCTTCGAAATATCCACAGGAGTGTATTTTCAGCCAGTCTCTATGATAATGGCTTGGTGTTATTGATCAAGGGAATGAGGAGGAGAAAATAACTGCAACCCAGAGGTAACGATGCAATACTCTTAGGAAAATATTAGCTTATAATTTACAGCTTTGTCCACTAAAATAATGACCAATGTCAGAGGGTTTCACTTGATCATACCCAGGAAGCCAGTTTAAAAATAGATGCATGCCTTACTGTTGATATTGAATTCGTGTTTTTCTCCTCATCTTATTAATATGGAATCCTTGACCATTTTACACCTTCAGAATACATGAAACTGCTGGAGATGAAATCCATTGGTCTAAAAAGAGATGCTAAAGGATCACTCTGCCAGTGGTATGATCTTAACTTTGTCAAACACATAACTAACCAGAGAAGTTCTTACCTGGTTCAGGAATTAAGTTCAATGAAACATTTTTGTATGCATTCATTCCTGGAACTCTGAGAGTGGACTGTGTACATGGTATACAAAGAAGTACTCCGTTCTCTTTGTCTTTCCACTTCCTAAGCAAAATGACTTGCTTGGTTTAGAAGTACATTTTTCTGTCTTTAGTCTTTTAGACCAGCTGCTAAAAGCAACGTAGTTCTCTTGTGATACCTTTTTGGAGTGTTACGCAACATTCCTCATCCAATCAGATGACAGTTTACACTTTATCAGTGTGTACAGCCCCAAGCATTCTTTGCCCGTCTAATTCTGGCAGCTCAGAATTAGAAAACAACTTCACAAAAAAGGTAATGAGATCTCTCATTTTTATGCCTTGTGGGGCAGAGTCCCCACATTGAACCTGAAGTTTGCGGTATTAACTCTGATGGACCAGTTTTTTAAAGTGCGCGTTTTAATTGCATTCCCCTGGAGTGGCAGAGTCCTACTCTGGTGGGGTATGGGAAGGTGGGTTGTTAAGCTGGAAATTAAGAGCAGCTGAGTCACTTCTCCTTTCTCATCCAGGAGACTAAAGAATAGAGAGATGAGAGTAGGATGATATGATAGAAAAGAACCTTGGGCTTTGGAGTCTGAGAGCCAAGGTTCAGCTCTCAGCCTAATCACTAAGGGATGTGTAAACTTGGGCAAGGTTTCCAAGCCACGGTTTCATCACTGCACAGTGATGACAACACCTAGCTGCTCTGGTCACTGCTGGCACATCCTAGGTGGCTTGGGCAATATGAGCACCCATGGCTCCACACATACTGGCTTCGCTCTGCCAGTTGTGGCTCATTCAGAAAATTAATTGGCTACTATTTTGCCTCCACTGCAGGATGAAGAAACTAGTAAAAGATTTCAGAACATCCTAATAGAGCCACAACATGCCTAATAAGAACACAGCTCTTCCCCAAGCTTACCCAGAGCAAGCATGAGGCAAGGCGACGCAGTCAGAAAAACACATCACATGTTTTCTCTCCAGCTGCTTCCTTCCACAGAAATCTCTGCTTCCCACATTTCAGATATTTCTTAAGTGAATTTCACAAGTTTTTGTGTATTGGATACTTTATAAATTTTAATAAGATGTTATAATAAATTATATCTCAATAAAACTGGAAAAGTTCTTAAATAAAAATAAATAAAATTTAATAAGAGAATATACATCTTTGCCCCAAATATCCTATGTGGGTTACTTGAAAATTATCCTAGTTTTAAAGATGTAACCATCATTACAAAAATGTTAGCTACTTAAATTAGGCCACAAATTATAATTTTAGCCCACTGATTAAAAGACTTTTAAAATCTGTGCCCAAAGTACTCTTGAAAGTATCAGTTATTTCGTAGAGAAAACTAGTGTGTGTGTGTGTGTGTGTGTGTATATACTTATTTATTTTAATCAAGTCTGAATTTTTCTCAGAATTATTCTGCATTTTTGTTAGAGCCAAGATTCACATATGAAATGTGATTTATAACTATGCCATAAAATAACACCCTGTTTTTTGCCCTTTTGTGTTACAGATTTCTTTTGTACAGTTTCTCACTGAAAACTGCCTCAAGATATTTGGAGAAGATATCACTTCCCTCTTTGAAGATAGCTCAATGATTTGTAATAACAGTGATATCACTGATAACAGTGAGAAGCTGCAGGTACTGTGAATACTTAATTGGCTTTGATGACAAAGACAGCAAGGCTACCAGGGGGTCATGGGAGGTCCTTAGACTGTGCTGTCCTGGAGCCCAAAGCACATCCCAAGGGCAATGATTTCCATCTGCTCCAGGTCAGGGGAGGTTTCACACTGTTGTGAAACCAAGGAAAGGATAAGACAGGTCTGACTTCAAGAAGTTGCTAGTACAGCATTAGAAGACATCACGGTATATTACAGCATTTGAGAATTTTTTCAAACAAAACTTTAAATGGGATTCATATATATCACATGTGCTCTGGCTGAAACTAGAGTGAGGGGCCCAGAGCACTGCCTGGTTTATTCCCCTCTCTCTCCTTTTTCTGGTCAGTGGTCCCTGAGGCACCACAGGTTCCCAGTGCCTTTGAAATAGGTTGAAAAGAACCAGCATCATTGAGAAAACAAGGACTTAATGTCAAACAGCCTTTCCAGACTATAACCTCATGTGCCTCTATTTACCAACTGCATTAAGTTCGGCCAGTTATTCTAGCTCAGTTTCAGTTTCTTCATCTCTAAAATGTGAATAAAAATAATGTCTAAATCTAAGGATTGTTGTAAAGATTAAATAAGATAATGGATGTAAAATAAATTTGTAAAAAAGCAATTAATAGGGCTAGTAGAAGTTCCCAAGAGATTAGAGCGAGTACTGTTTGAGCCTATCTAATCAAGCTAACTGGTAGCAGTCCATTTTATAAGGCAGCATTTAGATTCAGAACCTGAGGACATGTATCATGAGTCCCTTCATATTTTTAACATTTCTTGGTTTTATGACATTTACCTCATTGCTCTGAGGAAATCTTTAGGAAAATCCATTTAATCAGGAATTTAGATGAGCCTAATATCTGAGAATATGCTTATACTAAGACAACTTTGTTTTTTATTTCATCGGTGACAACAAAACAACCTCTTGAATCCAAGCCAGTGAGAGTGATAGTGATTTACAAAAAGGCACAACTGCAGGATGATGCCAAGGCCCCACCTAGCACGGGTCCACCCAGCTACCTGTCTACAATTTTCTAAGTCACTGAAGATTAGAATCTCCATAGTCACACCTGACCCTTCCTTTTTCTTTATTTCCTATAATATCTCACTCGAGAACTCTTTTTACCCAACATTTGCATGATTTTGTTGAGTCTGGATTAAATCCTCAGATCTTATCGAGAAATAAATTAATTTCCTGGCAGAAGAATGAACATGAGGCACCTTAAACCAAGAAAACCACTTTAGATCACTGAATGAAAAATAAGACCTTCCAAGGTCCCAGCTCATCCCATTTGACTTTTTCTTTTTCTTGATTCCATATATGCCTGTTTGAGAAAATCTACCCACAATGTATCTCTTCTATCTTCTATTTCTACCATATTATACTATATTTTTTGTATTGTATTGTACATTTTTATATAGATACAATAAAAATGGGTTCGACAACCATTTTATTTGCTTATGATTCATATTAACACTTTGGTGGAGGCTCATCTGGCAGTTTGGGTGTCCACTAAGATCACTTATGCACCGGCAGTCAGTTGGCAGCTCACCTGGAGCTAACTTACGTGTCTGCTGGTTGCTGTTGGCTCTGGGTTGATCCCCATGTCTTCAACAAGCTGGCCAGTCTTCTTCATATGGTGGAAGAAGGGCTCCCAATAGCACGAGAGGATTTTCAAGAGGCAATGTAGGAGAGTACTCCACAAAAGACTACAAAGACAATGAGTTATTCATTATTTACTGAGGGCTATTACTGTAATCTACCACACATGAAAATCATGACTCAGGACAGCATTACTACCACACACATCATTTTATTCATCAGCTTTTAACCGTCCATTCTTTAGACCAGCACTTCCCAAGGGGTATCAGGAAGTGTGGTAGAAAATATCTTTGAAATAATAATTGATTTTTTCCTCAGATATTTCTTGCCTTTACCCTTCTCCCTGTCTTAAGCTGTCTCAGGAGACAGATCATTTCCTCAGGGAACAGAAGTTACAGAAGAATTTGAGGAAAAGAGAGCTCTTTGTTGCTTATCAGTTTTGAAAATTTAGTTTCCTAGGAAACAAAAACAATTCATGGCACAGAGTAAAAATTTAGGTGGAAACCTCATGGGAAAAGCCCAAAACCATTAGGGGTACGGAACACGTGCCGCGTTTCCTGAGTAGAAACCAAGAGGAATCAGGAAGCCCTCACAGAACTAAATGACATATCTAAGAAAGATGGGGCATTGTACATTCATACGAAATTTCTAGTACCTCAACACAGAACAGATCAGTGAAGTTATTCCCATCAATCTGCGAATGGTATGGAAGGAACAAAGAGAGCCACTGGATTTGAATGACTTGTCTCAGCAACAGTTGTACAGACCAATTCCCTGGGACCAGATAGCAATTAGGACATCTCAGCAGATGCCCAGCATACATAGATGACACAGAGAATCAGTTAAGTGTCATCCCCCCACTCCATAACCACCTAACTCCTTGGCACTAGAAGACTCCAGAACATGGCCACACTCATGGAGAAAATGGAGAGATCCTGAATTTCTGCCAATCTGGGAACAAAGGATTAAACTAGAAACCAAATGAATTATTTAAAAATATAGAACAGTACATATCTTACATATATCCGTTTGTAGACTGAAATTGGTACCAATACATATAGAATACTTGACCCATGCATTTTTTTTCTAGAAAGGGTTCCATGGTCAAATAGGTTTGGGAAATGCTGTATTTTCATTTTGGAAATCAAAATGCCCATTAACATGTTAATGTCTTAGAGAAGACCCACAGTAAAGAAACCCAGTATTTTCCACATTTATTTCACCTGGGAGATCCTTTTGAAGGAACCCTGTTAATGAATGATCCTAGGAACATATATTAATAAACATTGCTCTAAATTTATCTTCTTAGGTCATAGAAGATCCTCCACAATGCAACCTGCTCCAGTAATCAGTTTTCTCTTCACTACTTCCCAGTGCAGATCCTTTTCTTTAGATAGGTCAGACACTTCACTGTTTCCTGAACAAGATACACTCATGTTTCTAAGTAATTATCAACTCCCCTTGGTCTCTATATATCCAAAAACTAGAGAGCCACTTGGGTTCTACTCTCCCAGAAATTTCACAAAGCCATCCTTGACCATTCCAGCTCAAATTAATTGTTCTTTTGTAATGCACGAGCATTTGACCCCATTAGACATTGGTTCATATGCTGCTTTGCACCATCAGGAATTAAGCTGGTATGTTTATACATTGCTCAACAAATCCAAATTCCTGTGGTAAATGATTATATCTTGTGTTAGTTTTATATCACTTTTAATGCCTGGCTAAATATCTACTAAAATATATGAATGAATTTGTGAACTTTTCTAAGAGTATAGAAATTTTACATAGATTGGTAACGACTGCAAATTTTAAAACTGAGGAGGTAGAATACAGCACAAATGGAATTTCAGTGGGTGGCAATGACATCAGCTTGACTAAAGTTTTTTAGATGTGACTTCACAGTCTTTACTATTCACAAGTTTTGGGATATACTATTTTTATTCGTCTTGCAAAAAATGGGATATTGGTATGATATATTTGGGGATAATTGCATGCTTTTGTGAACTTTCTTTTAAATAGCAACAATTTCATAATAAAAAGGGGTAAAAAACCGTTGGGCAGTGCATCTGTGAGTTTTTGAGCCAAGAAAGATGTACAAAAGTCCCTCAAATTTGAAAAAGAGAAATAATAGGAGGTAAAGAAAAGCTGAAAACAACTAATTTGTCAATTGTAACTCACAGAGGAAATTCTTGCCATGTGGAAATGGTCAATAATGTTAGTTTTTCCCTCAGGATATTCAAGCATAATGTATCATTGAGAAAGTCAATTTATTAATTTTTAGAAAAGATCCTAGGAACTGATAAACTATAAAAGGATCAATTGTCTAATGCAGAATGAACAAAAGGCAATTGGACTCTCTGATATTGGTCTTTACCGTTGCTGGTAAGATTTGTGTAATCATCAATCAACCTGCACTTAGCATGTAATTAAGGTTAAACATTTTCAAAAGTAAAGCAAAACAAGACGTCCCTGGTGGTCCAGTGGGTAAGGCTCCATCCCAGTGCAGTGGGCCCAGGTTCAATCCCTGATGGGGGAACTAGATCTCGCATGCATGCCACAACTAAGAGTCCACATGCCTCAATTAAGAAGTCCGCATGCTGCAACAAAGAGCCTGTGTGCCACAACTAAGACCCGACGCAGACTAAATAAATAAATAAACAATAAATTATTTTTTTTAAAGAAAGTAAAGCAAAGATGCTGAGGATGAAAATCTTATTTTATTCCAGAAAGAAAGCTATTCATAGGCTACCTTTATGAGAAAACTAAATCTCTTTATGGTGATTAATTACTATGATATATTGAATGGAATATATATATATATACACACACACACACACACACATATATATATATATATTCAATTCTTTATTCCACAAAAGCAACATGTAAGAATTTGGGGGATGAAGTATATATTTGTATAAAAAAAACATCTTTTTTCAAAAAGCATTGGGCGATGCCTTTCATATTTCTCTATTTCCTTCCGTGCTAGTCAAATGAGCCAGTGTAAGTACTCTAAAGATCTGTAGTGAATGCTGACTCTATTTTCCGTTTTTATGCTTTACATGTCCACAGCATAACTGCTAGGAAGAAATTGATTTCTTTTTGCCCTTGGGTCTAAAGGCCAGTATTCATTTGGTCGGCTACGTCTTTCCAGGGAATGAAATCATTCCTTTGTCATGCAAAAGAGACCACTAGAAAACAAAATTGTCGACAGAGAGTTACAGTTTCCTAAAACAGAAAAAGAGAAACTACTTTGTGAGAGTGGGAGTTTTTCCGAAATGTAGAGGTATAAAACTAGTTGGAAATGTAAAATAAAACAAAACAATACTGACTTCAGGATAACGGATACTTCTGTAGATGGAAGGAAGGGAATGGGATAGAGGAAAAGTGAAAAAGAAACTTCAAGCATATGTATATTATTTTATTAAAGATTTTTAAATGCTAACATTCTGCCATAATGCTTCAATTTTTTTAAGAAATAAAATGTTAACAGGTAATTTTATTACATAAATACCCACAACATACTCATGCATACACACACATATATATACATATGTTTTTATATATAAACATATAAAACATTATTCAATGAATAAATAAGACTACAGAAATTTTTATCATTCAGCACCTTATTCTTTTCCTTAACATATGTTTTTGTGATTTCTGTAAACTGATACATGTAGGCCCAATTCACTCAGTCTAGTTGCTGTATAGTAGTATTTCATTATATGAATAATTCATTAATCAAGTATATATATGTCTATCTTGCTCAAACTTTCTAGAGGCTTGCCTAGTTACTAGCTTTCAAAAGAACCGATTTTTAAAATTATCTCATTAGTGTTTTTCCTAGGTTATTAATTTGTATGTTGTTTTTATAATTTCATTGCTTCAACTTTCTTACTGTTCTTTTGATTTCTTCATCTAGCTTCTTGGATTAAATGCTAGCTCATTTATTTGTAATACATATATTTAAGACTATTCATAACTTGTAGGTACTGCTTTAGCTACATCCCATAAATTTTTAAATTTTTATTAGTATTTTAGTTTTTCAATCATCATTCAATTAATACATTTTATAATTTTCTTTGTGAATTATTCTTTAATCCATTCATGTTGAGGCTTTTTATTCTTCCAGGTTTTCCAACCTGTAGGATTTTCATTACTATTTGTAATACTTAATTTCTAATTTAGTTGCAGAGTGACCAGATAATATGTGAATAATTGTGATTCTTTATGACTGAAAGTATACAGTAAATTTTAAACATTTAAAATGTTGAATGCATGTTTTAGAAGAATGCATATTCTCTGTTGGGTTCTCTTTTGGGTACAGAGATATATATATTTAAAATCACGCTATATGTGTTACTCAAATCCTCTCTGTATATTCTCCAATAAGTAGTTTCTAAGAGAGGTGCTAAATTCTGCCATTATT